TTGTGAAGACGCTCTCTCCCAACGTGTTAGATCCATCAGTATGGCTTTTCGAGCTGTGCACCCGTGACACCAGCTATCAGTTCAGCATGCTAAACGTGTCTAGCGTCGAAGAATAATACTTCGTTTGTCTCGGATAGCGTTGAGCCGCCACACACGTCGATTCGCGAAATCCCGCCGATTACTGAAGACTCCGACTTTGTCTGTCCGATCGAATTTGAAAGTAAACAGCGTTCACACCGGCGATCAGAAAGCAGCCCAGAGATGGTAATGATACACTTGCTCTGCTTATGAAACCGAATGCTAATTTGGACTGCCAGGAGAGCTTGAAGCGGAAGCTCAGCGCCACACGTCGACCAGAAACGACAACTCGGAACCTGCTCCCAGAGCTCAATCAGTACAGACAAAACAATGCCGCTCTCCAACAGCAGATCGAATCATTGATGGCGAAGTTGAACGAATCGAAGAAAAGCGAGAGAGAGCTTCGTTCAACACTAGGACTGACCGAGATGAGATGTGCTGAGTTCGAGGACAAGGCGGCGCACGCTGACAGGCTTGCCAAATCCACGCAGGCTCTGCAAAACACTATAGATCATCTCGAAAGCCGTCTCGAGATCGCCAACACTGAGCGACTGGACGCGGAAGAGCAACTTTCGAATTTGATGAACGGGAAATCACCCTTCGACCTCACCTCCAAAGGACCACCTAGCACGAGTCACCCAGCTTCCGATAGACGTATGAGTATGAGTACGGTCTTCTCGAGCGCTTCGCCTATCAGTTCAGAGCTTGACTCGCAAGAGAACGCAACGCTAGCTTCTTTTGTTGCGCACATTGAGCGTCTGCAAGACCAGGTCAGAGAGAAAGATCATCGCATTGCGAAACTGGAGAAGGAGCGAGAACAGCTACGACGAGCACGCAGCGAGCTAGAACAGGAGCACAAGACAACTGCCGGTCGTTCAGGCACACACCACCCAGACACTCACATGGAAAGCCTTCGAGCCGCAATCCTGAATCGCGAATACGTAATTGAGGAGAAGGACAGGGTCATTTGTACAGTGGAAAGACAGCTGGAACATCACAAACTCTTGTTGCAAGCGGAAACCAGACGCCATGCGGCAATGAAGCTTCACGTGGCTGGGGAAGGGGAAGACAGCTGGCCCGAGCTTGCCTCCATTGCGAGACGGGAAGACATCGATAGGTGGATGGATAGGCTCCACGAGCGCTTGAGGAGGGAGCAATCTAAACAGAAGGGAAAGGCTCTTGCCGATACTCCGGATGTGCAGATGGAGAGCTTGCGACAGGAGATCGACTTCTACGTTAGGGAAATCATTCTCTTCAAGCTCGACATCAAAGGTTACAAGAGCGACATTCGAAAGCTGAAGAAGATCACTGCGCAAATGGAAGCTTACGGCCGGACGAGCGATCTGGAATCTGAAGCATGTTCTCTCAGGCCAACAGCTACACCTGCTCCCTCATATTTCCCGCCGACCACACCAGAGCTCGATGGCGCCAGTGTTGTCTCGCCTGCTATAGACGAAAGTCATATTGTGACTGCCCTGGGAGGATCCCCGGTTGCTATCTCCCCATTGGCTCCCTCGCGCGATCGGGACCGCGTCTTCATGGCATCAAGAAACTCACGCGAGCTCGACATACCAGCAACATTGTATGAGGTGGCGCATAAGGATGATTACGCAACCGGAGCTGATCTCATGGGTGCTGGGGCCTCTTCAAACTTGGTCTTACCGCGGACAGCTACGGTATGTGCGCGCTGACGGTGTTCGAGCCCGCCGTCTAACTCGTCCAGTGCAGCGAACTTATCACGAGCTTCCCATCACCCAATTCAGCTGTACCAAATCAGCGCATTATACACAAACGTAGTATGAGTGAACCATTATTTAGGGCGTATCAGACCTCCCACGGAGACCATGGACCGATTGCGGAACGAGTGGAAGGTATACAAGGATGCTACTTGAAAGCACCAGTGAATCGCAGACGCTCGGCATCCAGCGCGCACATTGCGCAAATGTTGTCAGCGAATGTACTCGCCGAGCGAACTTCGCCAGCTCTTTTCTCGCCAGAACCTCAAACAGCCTCTTCACCACATGACACGAACAACGATGCTACGCAGCCCTCGCTTCAATATGAACGTAGACACAGCACTGCTTCATCTTCAAGCATGCCTGTCGTCACATCTTTGGGTGCACCACGCAAGTCAGCTCTGAAAACCCCATTCGCTGCCACTATGCCAATGAGCTGTTCCATCACCCGCAATGCGCCGTTCAGCACGGCGTGGCCAATATCTCGAACAGGCATCGGCGGAACTATAGCATCGGCACCGATGACATCGCCAGTCCCAGACATTGCTTCAAAGTGCTTGACCCCAGCTCGCATGTCTAGACTCGCAGCTCCGCAGCAGCAAGATCAGGCCACAAGTTTGGCCAGAACGACCTCACACTCGCGCAACGTGAGCGCAAGCAGTGTTCGTACCGTGATCCGTACCTAAGAATCCGGCGATGAGTAAGAGTAGAGAGCTAGGTATGCGTAGCGTTTGGAGGGTGGGAGGCATCGGTATATCCAGAGCCAATACATCGATATCTGATCATGGTGGTTACGTGTGGTTTTGTTGTGGCCCCTCCGTCTAGAGTTTATGGAGTCATCAGCTTCAAACTAGGTACTGTTGAACAATCATGATAATTACGTTAAGAACGTGGATCTCGTTGCACATCACGCATTGTATCGTGTATTCCTCATCGCCGGCGTGATGGCTGCTTCACTCGCCGCGCCGAGTGGAGCCATGTCGAATGAGGAAATGATCCGCGTGTCTCACGCGTTGCGCCTGAACGCGCTTGCGCTGCACATCTCCGCAACTGCACTCTCGAGTAAAGTCCATTTATATACTCTTGCTCCTACTTATTTTACACGTCAGATGGCGTTTTGGAAATGGAGGTACTGCCTTGCCCCATATGAGGAACAGAAAGCCGATGAGCTTCACTTGGGGTCGAGAGCAATGTGGAGTGTCTTACTCATCGTGTGGAGCACTCGTGGTGGACTATACATCTCAATTCAGGATCGTTTAACTAATACAGATCAGACGATGCGCTTAGTTCCTTTATCACTACATCACTCGTCGATGCTACCAGAGGCTGTGGCCACAGGGTTCCCCTTCAATCAGACTTCAGCGATCGACCACACACATCCATGCGTGATGGAGGACATTTGCCTGCCATGGAAAGTAGCGCAGTCTGCGTAGCAAAATGTGGAAACTCCGCTCTTGCCTAAGAGTCTAACTTGAGGGTGCTTCCCCGACCACCGCGTCGCGCATGTATCGGGCGCCACGTTCTCAACTTCCTCGGGAACTCACCACAGGCTCAACAACTATCATAAAGATAGAGCATATACACTTCCCGTCGCCATTCCTTGGATAAATTCTCCGCATTGTCGGTGCGCACCGTGCGTCACCCTCGTTTCCTTATCCCAGAGTCTGCTCAATAAGACCTTGGTACCAGACGACTGCGCCAACTTCCACTTTCACTTTCACTTTGATTACAACGCTCAATCTTGGACGTCTTGGCCCGGCTAGCGTCACGTAAAATCATTCGTGTATCCGCTCGCTAGGCTGCTCTACCTTTCGTACCCTTCTGTGCTCCTACTCCCCTGTTGCGACAATACCCAGCAACGCACGTCAGCACATCAGCTTCCCACTGTACCCAAACATCCCAGCATCTTGCAACATGACTCGTGTCAAAGTAGCACCAAAAAAGGTGTATGAAGAGCCCCGTATCGACTCAGGCGCAGCGCTCTCAGACCCTGCCGTACCCTCCGATGGACCCGCGCCGAATGGGTAAGCGTGTATCCACAAGATACCAGACAGACCAAGCTAAGAATATGAATAGCACTCTCGTAATGCCCATCCTCCTAAAGACGAATTGGGACCTCGGTACTCCCAAGGCTCGCCTCCGTAAAAATGATCTACAGCTGCGCCAACCGAAGGGCTTTCCCATTAAACCACTCAAGATCACACTCGACCGCGCTCGCAAAGAGGCAGCGATTAAGGCTCTAGCTAAGAATTGCGTCGATTCAGACTTTGAAGTGTACGAGGAGTTGGAGAAGGTTGGTGAGGTTAAGAAAGCAATCGAGGCTGAAGAGAAGAATGATGAGGAGGAAGCAGAAGATACAGCAGGTGAGGAGTTAGAGGGTTCCGTCCACGACAGTGCGGACGGCAGCGCAGATGACAGCGACGATTCCTACGAGCTTTCAGTTACCAGAGTCGTTAACGAGAAGCCTGCTGCGCTTGTCGACAGTCGCGGACGGACTCGAGCAGCTACAAATCGACGCAAGGCTCAGGAGGCATCTGAAGCCACCATGCAGACAAGCGTCTAAAATGAGGACGGGGAGAATGCGACAGTGAACGAGAAGGAGCGCATGCGAAATGATAAGCGGGCGATCAAGCAGTCAATTTGAGGCTCGAAGTCACGTCTTGGGAAGTTCGCTGCATTGCGCGGCAGAACACGCATGTAGGCGAGGTGGCTCGGATGTATCTCGGCATGTAAGCACTGGCGGACATCTTGGATGGCCTCGGCATCTTAATAACCAATGATGTTACAGCAGGAGCAATTACCATATCAATGTGTCTCTAGTATTGTACGATCTGTCAAAGCATTCACTGGAATGCAGTGATGAGTGTGCCTTGCAAACGCCCTGCTTGGCGCAAATAGGCCGAAATCCGGCATCAAACGCTAACCGAATGCGGATCTCAAGCTTCGCAACCACGTGTGAGCGCGTATGCGAAACCCTGGGAGAGTTCCGCTGCAGCCCCTCCATTACCCGCACAGCTGCCTCCCCCAACTACTTGACGAGTGCTTCGCACCCCTTTCCGCTGTTGTCTTTTGCTCACTTTTAAACCCAACCCCACCATTCCGCCAACAACCCGTGGACACTTCAAGAGCATTGCGATAGGAGCGGACGGTAGCTGTATCAGCGCGCTATCTTCTGCTTCTGTCAAAATGACCGCCGAAGCCCAGAAACTGCTTCTAAAAGAATGGGCCAAGGACATCAAACATGTCGTTGACGACAACAATTCACCCAAGGCCGAGTTCGCGCGCCTGGCAAAGGCAAAGGGATGGACCGGCGGAGATACCGAATGGTGCCATCACTGGGAAGCGTGTTTCGATGAGACATATACATGGGGAGTTCGTCGTAAGTTCAGCTCGCTCCGCTTGATGCGTCTTTGATGATGCGAGGAAGCTGGAAAGGCGGTGTCGAGCGAACCATTACTAATGCATGGCATCAGATAAGTCAACAACAGCCGATACGACTGTACTCAAGAAAGTGACTGCTCAAGCTGGTGGGATCGATCTAACAGAACGTATGCGAAGGCTCTCCATTGGTTCCGATGCGTCGTCTTTCTCGCTCATCTCACGCACGTCAAGGGCGAACTCTTTCGAAAGTGTGAGGTCGATCAACAGCGACCAGTCACACGAAGCCGAAGGTCTTTCCACCAGCCCACAACCTCCACCGAACACAGAAGTCTCGGATAGCACCGACTTACAAAACAGCGTACTGTCTCTTGATACGGTCAAGTCCCTGGAGGAAATTTCTGGGGGCGTTGAGATCCCGGACACGGCTTCAGAACACAGCGATGCTGAGTCAGAGGCTTCATCGCTAGAGTTGGACGAAAACCCAGCGTGGAGTGAATACACCAACTTCGTGCACCGCCCAGATGCTTCCTTTCAGTCAGAGTTCGAACGTCTAGCTCGCACCAAAGGTTGGGTGGGACGTATCAAACGCCAGCACCTAGTCGAGCTGCTCACTAGCGAGGTTGAGTTCTACTGGGGTGCGGACGACGTTGACAAGCTTGAATATTACCAGTTCCTATGTCAAGAGATGGGCGTCAAGCAGATCCCTTTGACTGTTACCCAGGCGAAGAACGTAAGCACATCATCTATGAGCCCACGCAAAAGTACGCCGCTGACAATAAATAGGCGCTTCGGCCTCTCAAAGTCAACCTTTATAGCGTCATCGACCACATGCGCAACCCGGAGATCAAGGTCATCACATACAAGACTATCCGCGAGCTTCGCCAAAGCGTCCGCAAGAAGGGCACCTTTCCGAGGCAATGTGCTAAGGCTGGTGAAGGCTGCATGGCCGCTTTGCTGTCCAAGTTGTAGTTGCATTGATCTATCTGGATTTGCAAGGGTAATCAGACATGCGTGTGGCTTCTCACATCTAGGCATTTCATGGTACATCTGATTCTGGGAACAAGATGGTGCTCGCGATGGTATGCAGCCTCTCGTTGGAGTGACGACCAAACGTCATAAACTCGGCACGTGGTTACCGTTCTTGTCCAATCAATCTGATTAATTTTGAAACTTCATCTCGTTCTGCAGTGACAAAACGGTGTGTGTAGAAGCTTCTCGCATTTCTATCATGCCAATCGCGTGCCTTCACCGTTCACCGATCTTGAGGTGTCGCTCAATCTTCACCGCTCACGCACTCTGTTAGTACGCTTTTGATAGATATCTTGCCCTTCTTTTTGGTCCACCTCTTTGACTTCCTCTAAGTCACGACACACCCCGCAGCCGTCAACGCAAGTGACTACGACAGCAACTCACCATGGCTTCGAAAGTAATCGCTTCAAATGCCCAGAAGTCGCTATTTCGCAACTGGGCGCAGGACAGCATCTTCATACTCGATATCCACGATTCTACCAAGCGCCAATTCTGTCTTCTAGCCAAGATGATGGGTTGGGTCGGCGGAGAAGAGACGTGGAATGACCACTGGCATGAGTGCTTCGGCGAGGTCTACATCTGGCGCGCTTTCGGTGAGTAGACAGTGTTTGACTTGACAACAAAACTGACAGATCCCAGGTTCTCTGTCAACTTCCTCCGACCCAGCTACCAGTGTTGTTCCCGAGGATGCTGCTGGTACTTCGGTGTCAAATGCTACGTCCACTCCAAGGGACAGTGGCGGCGTTCGTGCGAGCGACATCTGGTATCAGTTCAACGGTTTCATCCCCAATTCTTCAACGAGCTTCAACAATGAGTTCTCGAGATTGTGCAGACACATGCGCTGGAGTCGTGAAGAGCGTCGCAGGGCCAGGGTTGAGATCTTCGATGCCGATTGGGAAGCCCACATAGGCAGCGATCTGGGTGATCTAGCTCGTTGGCAGGACTTCTGTCGCATTTGCGGCATTAATCCAACCCCAGATAGTATTCCTGGCTGCATGGAGGTATGCGCACCTTCCATCACATGCAGGATATGAGCTCACTTTCGAACAGGCTTTAGAGAACGTCTTGGTTAACATCTATGATCTCCTCGACTCTCAACGCAATGGCGCGTTCGTCACGCCCTTTGAGAGCTTCGTGGAGTTTCGAGACTACACTTACGACGATCGTATGTATCCCATCGAGGAAGCGAAGGTGGACACGTTCTTGCCGGTCTTCCTGAAGAAGCTTTTCCCTCAGCAAAGTGGATAGACGGAGACACTACATCTGTCCTGGCTGTTGCAGCTCACGTTTGGCTTTACAGTCAGCTCGAGTTATGTTTCAGCTCTTGCACCGAGCTTGTCGTAATTGAGCTATTCGAAGGCTGGCCAGCTACCTCTTTTGCATCCTCGCAGATTGACAAGCGAATGGCAGAGATAGCCTTCAATCACAAGGCTAAAGAACAAGACGATCGTCTGCGAGTACCAATAGTAATGGATTGATCGTGTTCACCCTGCTGTACTCATATGCGTGTATGCGGCACAGTGACTTCCCGTCCAGCAGCCAGCCGATGTGGTCATTGTCCGCTCATCGACGATAGCTTGGAGCCACTGACTGTAGCATTGAATTACATGCATCTATACCTGTAGAGAATGCTATTAGTATGTTCCAGCTCGTTGCCGACGTGGCGCCAGGCATCTCGGGTCTTCCACGTCCTCAATGGTCCGATTGTCTGCTTATCTCGGTTTGCTGCAGCTTCCCATATGCACCAGATTATCGATTTAAGGAGTCTAGGTTCATTGCCACCGCACTAGAACCTCATTGTCCGTACGAGACTCTCCATCATGTCCCATCGTCATAAAGGCCACGCTAGTGAGTATGCTACCGTGACATCCTACGAGACACACTCTAATCTATGTCTTTAGAATCTGAAGCCTCTGCTGCGACCGCGAACGCCTCGAATGCCCAGAATAATGGTCAGACTGCCATATGGTTCCAGAAGTTTGCACCCTTCGTATATGACACAAGCGCCAGCACCTGGAGTAACTTCGATCGTCTCGCCTCAAAGCGCAACTGGGGTGATAAACTCCGAAGAAAGCAGTGGACCAATTTTCAAGTGGTCTTAGTGGCGTCAAACCATGCTGACGCGGACGATGATGCTCATACCGACACCCCAACCCAGGGCGGCGCATGGTTCCAGCAGTTCGAAAATTTCGTACACGATCCAACGGTCGGAATCAGGAGCAATTTCGAGCGTCTAGCAGCACAACGCAGCTGGGGCAACAGACTGAAGCAGAGGCGTTGGGCTGAATGTCAGGAGGAGGAATTCGGCTATGCATATGGAACGAATACAACAAAGCTAGAGATCTGGCAGAGGCTATGTCGTGAGGTGCACATCAGCGATCCACTAGACAGTATAACACAGTGTAGACAGGTAAGGAGAGTTGTAAGCGATGCAAAGTCTGCTGCTAACCGTGGGGAGGTGCTTGGCAGCCGAAACGTCCTGGTCAATCTGATGAACCTTATTGACCATCGTAACATCGGCGTGGAAGTGATCCGATTCCAAAACTACTCCAAGTTCCGAGCGTACACATGTCCGAAAAGGGTGTTTCCTTTGAGGAAGGCGAAGGAAGATGGCTTCATCAAGGCGTTGTTAAGGAAGTTGTGATGGAGGCCGGAGTAATCCGCGTGGGCCGTAATTGCACTTGCAAACAGAAGCAATATCAGGGGTTGCAACACCAGATGCGTGCGACGAATAATGGAACCAAAAGATAGTTGCTTATCCGTATGACTCAGCACCCGCTTGGCGACACGTAAACATTGTGTTTACACTTTCTAGTCCTTTCTTTTCTTCGTGTGCACAACAGTCCCAACGTCGCTCTTGGTTAGTGTCGCGCGATACTCCGGAAACCACCTGGGCACTATTGGCGACTGCCGCAGTTCCGCGCACTACTGACCCTGCACGATGGTTCGCGGAAGTCGCGCTAGTGAGTAGCGTACATAAACAAGCAATAGCGATATGCTCACATTGAACAGAGGGAGGCGTCTCCATTGTACCTGAAGCTGGGACAACTGCTTCTCCTTCCTCGAGCGACCGTAGCACTCCTCCTCCAAGCGACGACGGTACCTCTGATGAAGTTCGTGACTATTTCTCGCAAGAAAAGTTTAATGGATTTGTCCCAGACCCTGAGGACGATCTCATAGCGAAACTCAGCAAGCTTTCGATCCACCAAGGTTGGTCCAAGAGTGAGGCGAAGCGTCGTCGCGCGGAGGTTGTTGAGTTCGAGGTGTCTCGACACTACGGCCCCGACAAGTCGAAACTGGAAAACTGGCAGAAGCTGTGTCGTGATGTCAAGATCGAACCTGTACCGCCTTCTATAACACAGTGCAAAAAGGTTACGCTTTTTCTCCACAGTCGCATAGTTCTGCTGACGTATCCTCGTAGGCTCTTTCACGCGTCTATGTCAACATCTTCAACATCCTGGACCATCTAGACAATCCCCAGCGCTACGATGTCATTGTATTCAAGAACTACAAGCTCTTCCGTGCATATACGCTCAAGAGCCGCATCTTCCCTTTGGATCAGGCTAAGGAGGACGGCTTTGTCAAGGCTCTGCTTCGCCCGCTCTGTATGAAGAGGAAGTAGTAGCAGCATTGGCGCTTCAGGAAATTTGGATGCAATGGGTATTTGGATTGTCGGATGGAGTTATTGGTGGCCTTGTAATGCTTCTTTCTTGACTCGTTCTCGTCTGCGTGGCGTGAGTGGGGATGTAAGCAAAGGCGCGGCTATCCGGCTGCGAGGGTGCAGGTGACCTGGGCACCATCCTTGATGGGATTACACGTCCACGCAGTAGTTAGAGTCGCTGATCTAAACGATGTTGGTGTAATATGTTTGGGGACGCATGTGAAGTCAGGACTAGTAGGCGAGATGTTCGGAGGCTTTGCCCGTCACAGCCGTAGTGCAGCTTAGCGAGGCCTAAACAAAGCTCACCCCGTGGTATCCCCCGCTCTGCACAACTCACCCGTATCGTCGATCTGGTGGTATATCCCTCAAGGCAAACAACCTTCACCATGCGCTGCCGGTCGCGCTTACCCCAGGCGGCGAAGGCAATGTGGCCTTGCGCGCCCCTCCATCCCCCGTAGAAGTTGCAACGACCAACTCAGCAACCCTCGCGACCAAACACGAATCCCAACGCATACGATGCAGCAGGAGAATGAGCGCATGAAGCTCAAAGATGGCCGGACCCTCTCCTACGCCATCTACGGCAGCCCGATGCCACAGAAGACGATAGTCTTCATGCATGGCTGCCAATCCTCGCGCTACGAAGGCAAGCTATGGCACTCGGCCTGCGCCCTACACAGCGTCCGCATCATCGCGCCCGACCGTCCTGGCAGCGGCCAGTCGACCTTCCAGATCAATCGTCGCATCCTCGATTGGCCTACCGACGTGCTCGCCCTGGTAGACCACCTTAAGATCCACAACTTCTACGTACTGGGCGTATCGGGAGGCGCGCCCTATGCACTGGCTTGTGTCAAGGAGGTGTCAAGGGACCGTCTACTAGGAGCCAGCATCGTCAGCGGTCTCTATCCAATCAAGTTCGGCACAGCTGGCATGTTGCTACCTTCGCGCATCGTCCTCTGGGCAGCGCCGTGGGTCAACGGGCTGACCACCACGCTGTTCGAGAGCACCATCGGTAAGCCAAGTCGCGATGACGACCCGAAAGTCCTCGAGGACATCATTGCCAAGGAGATCCGGAGCCGTCACCCCGCCGACCAAGAAGCTATCCACGATACCACCAATTGGCCCATCTATGTAGCCATGACCAGAGAATCGTTCCACCAGGGAAGCGAAGGCGCAAGCTGGGAAGCCAAATTGAGCGGCAGCGACTGGGGCTTTGAGCTTGGACATCTATACGTTGGAGACAATGGAGTACCGCTTACCTTGTGGCATGGTCAGGACGACCAGAACTGTCCCGTCGCCATGGCTCATAAGGCCAGGGACCTGTTGCCCGGAAGCGTATTGCACTTGAAGGGTGGCGAAGGTCCCATGAGCTATATACACCGGAATGCTGACAACATCCTGGACGATCTCATGGACGAGACGGAGAGCGAGGAGTACATGATGGTCGGTGCCGCGTAACTGTGTCGGTAGATGATATGCTGGTGTTGGACTTGGTTTCTTCTTCTTAAGTTCGTCCAACCAGGCTTTGGTCCGCATGTCAGAACCACCATTAAACCCATAGTCAACTAATCACCATTTCAAATTTGATTTTCAATGACCAGCTCAAGTAAATGAGATTGCGTGGTAATCGTGAAATTAAGGTACTATGCGCCACGCGTTGCAGCGCGGTCTAAATGGTATCCAGCGAATGTAGTAAGAATGGTATCATGCAGTAAGAAAAAGATCCAAAACCCATCAGTCGTAAGAAACAGCCCGCCCTTCTGCCGACGCCCTATAATTTGCTGAAATTCCGCGTGATCATGACGACTACACCCGCAACAATCTTGAACGCTATCTTCAGTATGAACACCACGGCCTTGAACGCAAACGTCAACACAGTTATGACTGTACGTGCGACGAGCGGTAGTTTGCTTTCGTCATCAGCATTCGCTTTCTTCGCCTTCTTCTCCGATTTTGTGGCTTTCGATTTCGTATGCTTGTCTTGTCCGTACCACTCGCCCAACTCAATGTCCTTGTCGAAACTTCCCATCGCACTATCGCTACGAGTTGTTGTACTCTTCAGGCTAGAAGCAAACTTCTTCAGTCCTTTACCCGAGAGTGGCGGGCGCGACTTCCCACCGATGCCCTGGAAGCCCTCGACAAAAGAGTCTTTGAAGGCTTTTGCTGTGTCTTCCTTCTGGTGGTTCAGGGTGAAGCTTGGTGGTGGTGGCTCGAAGTTTTCTTGGCTTCGATTGCGTGTTTTGCGGCCGCGTGTAGCTTCCGCTACTGCGACTGCCAGAAGCGTTGATGTAAGAACATCAACCAAGAAGGGATTGCCAAAACGTGTCAGGGCACCAAGGTGGAGAATGAGAGCGTCGTTTGCGAAGTCAAGACGTGCGAGCATGGCATCATCGGCAGTAGCGTCGGTGGTCGTAGGAAGTTGGCCAACAGACATCTCAGAAGGTGTCATAGATACTGGTCTGGTGCCATCGAATCGCGGAGGTGGTGGTAGCGGAGAGAACGCGTTTGTCCGGGGGGTCGTTGGAGAGAGAACGTATGGGTTTAGCACAGTGATGCAGGCTGGCTTGCGTCCGGTACTTTGTGGTGTCATGGGCATGTTATGCCCGTAAAACGCCGTGATGGGTCTCGTCGAAGGAGCATTGATGACAGAACAGTCACCTTCCAGGGAGATGGGGAAGGTGCCCAATGTTGGATGATGGAGCTGATATGAACCCTCCGATGGCATATGTTGCGCCCAAGGATTTGCTTGTTGTTGAGGGTTGTCCCTCGTCCAGGCAAGAGCGCAGCACTCACGTTGCGCAGTACCAGCTAGAACATCTTCGGCCAGACGCTGTGCGGCGGGCGACTGGGCACCCGGGTCTGAAAGCGCAATACGCGATGCAGCAGGAGAGTTAGCAGCAGCATCAAGCGCCTGAAGAGCGGCCAGCTTTGGGTATATGCTAGTAAGAAGGGTGGTATCCTCTTGCTGTTGTGGGCTAAACGCTCCATTGTCTAGTGACGGAGGCGCGATAAGATCGAGATGAGCAATAGGTAAGACTCGCGGCTGGGTGGGGTGATGTCGTTGAATGAGCAGCTCGTTCATGATGCTGGGTACTTCGTGGTTACCTGCAAGGTTTGACTGTGCTACAGAGTAGAACGGTAACGATGGCGTTGTACCAAAGGTGACCGTCGGGTTTGAGGCTGTTGCGCGATGCATTCGCAGGGTATACATCTGCACACTGGGCTGTTCTTGTCCATTAGTGGCTAGCCAGAGATTGTCAAGAAGGTTGGATGGCGTGAAGAAGGGCTTTGGTGGTGGAGGAGCTGTCGAGCCGCTTGAGCGAACGTTGTTGTGAGGAATATACGACTCGGAAGAGTAGGGTGAACGACTGATCTGGGTTCGAGGTATCTGTGTGGGCGACGCTTGGGTTGGCTGATATGGTTGACGTCCAAGAGGGACTGTGGGATCATAGACTGGGAACATTGACCGCATCGGAATCTCTTCTTGCGGTGACATGCATCTTGTAGCAGAGCTATTTGCTCGGACCAGAGTCTGAGCCTCGGAGAAAGCTGGTGAAATCGCGCGAGCAGGATCTGGGCTGGCGGTGCGTTGCTGGTCGTCGATTTGATCATGGCCATGACGTTCTTGTACACGGTAAAAGCTTTCTTGCCGTCCAAGTTGTGGGGACGCAGTTTGCTGAGGCGGTGGTTCAAAGTATGGCCGACTCGTTGTATTTGACATTGGCGTTGTCGTAGCCTGTGGACTGGGGATATGTGCTCTTGGCGGGGCCGCGATGGCCGGCGGGGGCGCCATTGGGTTGGAGGGTGATACTGGCACAGAGTTGACTTGGATGAGAAGTCCGTGGAGATCAACAGGTGTTTTGGCGCTTACGGCACTCTCTGTTGCCAATGGTTCTTGACTGGCTGGCTTTGGGTGAGGAGATGGTCGTGGACTGGGACTCGTCTGTCTTGGAGCACGAGGAGGAGGAAATAATTGGAATGCTGGTCCAGCCATAATGAGTGCTTGCTATCCTACTCTCTTGATAAATGGTACCCCGAAATAACTGGCGGGACCAAACAACAGATACCGGCTGTGTAGAGAAGGGAACAAAGACTGAGAACAGCAACACCGGGAGTACGACGTCTCGGGTAATCTGGGGATAACGACTATAAGACGAGCATTCTGCGAGGCACTCCGAGCCATCGGAAGAGCCGTGGCATGCAGCCAGGGCAATAGCAGTACAAAGACGACTTCCCATGCAGGAAAACCCTCTTCTCAGCCAGGTGGTGGTCAGATGGGCCCAATCAAGCCGTGTGTAAGGCTCGGCGCTACTCAGAGTTGATGAGCGGCGGTTATATTTTGGGTGGTTGGCTGCTGGTTGCTGTAAGCGCCAACGCTGTTCACTCGCTACACTCCCCGCCGCACTAGCTTGGGATGTGAGAAAGCCTGCATCTGGCGATGATTGGTAGACGGTATGTGCCTGCCCTGCGTCGGGGTAGCATATGCATGTGACAAGTGGCCAGTCCGGCGGCCCGCTGCGAGTCGTCGATCTATTTCGAGCGCTCAAAACCTTTGCCAACATGCCACTTTCGGTGTGCATCATGAATGCTATGGGAGGGATGCCTGTTGTCGTACCTGCCCTGTGACAGCACGAAAGTCAGGACGTGGTTCTTCATTATTTTTGTAGCCGGAATTGAACTCATGAATATGTTTTCATAGTTCCACGGGCTTTGATCATGCAGCGCTGGCGGATGAAGGTCTGTTCTGGCGAAACAGCGTTTGGTGGGGTTGGGGCTTGAAGCCACCAAGCTTTCGGCGGTAAAGAGGGCTCGCACGCTGCAGAGTCGCGGTGCACGCAGCCGCCCTAACACCAAGACAACTCTGGCTCAGGCATCGCACTGGCAGCTTATCGCACAATTTACCAGGACGCAAACTGTGCAACATGGCCTGATTACAAAACTTGGTCGCTGGGTAATGTGCTGAGTTACCCGGACTAAGGCCGAGCTTCCAACGGAGCTGTTGCTGGGCGGCTGTGGTGGTAAGCGTCCAAGGGCTTGGTGGTCAAAAGACGATGACGGGGTCAGGTCATTCTTGTTAAGAATAGGCAGGGCAATATGCATTAGATGAAGCAATCAGCGGGTATCACGTCGCTGCAGTGGCCGGGCATGCAGCTCGCGACAACGCGCGGCGAAGATGCGGGATGCGCGCTAGGCTTATCGATAAGCGAGATGTGCAGCCGAGAAAAAGTTGGGCCTTCGTCATCGCGCACGACAGTCACGCGAAGCCAGCCATAGCCACGATGCCATCAGAATTAGAAGAGGTAAGAAGCCAAGTACTCGAGACTTTGGGGTTCATCGCCAGCTAATACTCCGCTTCCAGCTTGTGGAATTCCTGCACCACGGCAACACGCAGATCAGGCAGACTGGTCAGACGAACCCCTCCACCCCACCACCGAACACAGCTCACACTATGCAGCGGCCGACCACCTTGTCGGATACTCACAGGCAAACGTCTCCCTATGGAAGCGCAACCAACTAGAGCCTATTAGGGACCTGAAGCTACTCGTCAAGGACTATGCGCCCATAGCGAAGAACGCCCTGACCATCCTCATCAATGTCTCCGCCGACGCCGAGGTCCAGAAGGCGCTGGCAAAGGACGACGACTTCCTCGAAACGCTCTTATCGCGGATAACCGTATGTCAGTTCCCCCTCTATACAAATGAGGACTGTCAAGGGCTGACTTGCTGCAGAACTCAAAAGAGCCCAACGCCAACGAGATCGCAATGCTCCTCGCCAACATGGCAAAGGACGACTCGCTACAGCGCGTTTTAGAGTTGAAGCGCGACATACCAAAAGAACTGTCCAAGTCAACGTGGGCTATGGATCAGCTCATGGACTGCTTCGTCAAGGGCGCAGAGGGCGCGTATAACAAGAACGCAGATTTCGACTACCTTTCGTACTTCTTCGCCGATCTAGCCAAGTTTCCCAAGGGTCGCGAATACCTCACCACACCGCAAGAGCACGACGATAACGTAATCCCCATCACCAAGATCCAGGTCTTCACCGACCATGCCTCGCACATCCGCCGCCTTGGCGTAGCTTCGGCGATTAAGAACGTCGCTTTCCACGTCCCTTCGCATCCCGTGCTACTATCGAATCTATCGCCCGACCCGAATCTCCCACCTCCATCTATCGGTGCAAACCTACTTCCATACATCCTTCTACCCCTCATGGGCCCAGAAGAGTACGCAGATGACGACACAGAGGGCATGCTGGATGAGCTACAACTCCTTGAGCCGGACAAGGAGCGCGAGAAGGATCACGAGATCATCAAGACTCATCTTGAGACGCTGCTTTTACTGAGTACAACGCAAGAAAGCAGAGAGGTGCTGAGGCGCGTCAAAGTCTACCCGATTGTCAGAGAGTGCCACATGCATGTCGATGACGAATCAGTCCAAGAAGCATGTGACCGTGTGGTCCAGGTCATCATGCGCAAAGAAGAAGGCGAAGAGGAGGATATACCAGACATGGCTAGTGCAGGTGGTAGCGGGAAGCTGATGGAATTGGAAAATGCCGAAGATGATGAAGACGAGAAGATTGTTGACATTGTCTAGACGGGAGATGCATATGCGACGCAATACCAACAATATTCTCAAGTCGCAAAACCGTAGTCATGCCCTACATCCAGATAGCGTGGTAGATCTGATTGGCGGTGATACCGGGGATAACAGCCTCGCTCAAAACTGTTCTCGGCTCCTCAATTATGGATCTTTGCCAAACTTGGTCGAAATAGGAAGGATCCCGTCATCGATTCTCAGTACCTCGATTCTTCTGCATCTCATCTGCTTTACTTCTACATTCTTATTTCTGTACCACGCTTCGCGCCGCTACTGTTTGTACCGTCATTCCTTGTTGGATAGCTTATTGGAAGTATATTATGTGTGTGACGTAAGTCGAATTATGTCAACGGTCGACTTAAAAGATGGCGGGGGCCGAGGTATGGTACCAGCCACCGACGAAAGTGCAGTGCAGACAGCAGCCTCATCACCAACGGGTCGTCCACCAAGAAAAGGAATAGAGCGGAGTACAGGCATAATAGAGCAGGAAGAAGAGAAGCAGTCAATATGGAGAAGAATTTACACAACCTTGACGTGGACGCCGCCGAACTGTCGCTGGGATCCGGACAAACCACCGCAATTCTCTATGAGCAGTACGTCTTTATGCGAGATTTCATGTCATAGTTCGGTTTGAACAAAGCCTACCTCACGATGCAGCTCCTCAGAGCTCTCCTCGATGAACACCATGCAGGATTCCAGCTGATTACCATCATCCCAGTGAACGTTCTATTCGCCTTTGCCGCCGGCTTTACAGTCGCAAACCTTTACTACAACCACCCCATTCTCAATCTACTAGCTGCAGACTTCGGCGTGCGCTATGAGCAAGTCGCACAGATTCCCACTGTGATGCAAGCTGGCTATGCCGCTGGACTACTCTTTCTGTGTCCGTTGGGAGATTTGTTACCTCGACGGCCGTTCGTATGTGGCTTAGTAGGGTTCACTGCGACATTGTGGTATGTCACGTTGAAATCCGAGGCATGCTGAAAGGAGATTACTGACGATAGGACAGGCTAGGACTATGTCTGACGTCCGACCTCGGAACTTTCACAGCCATATCCTTCATCGTAGCGGTGACAACAGTAACCCCACAACTCATGCTCCCACTCGTGGGGGATCTAGCTCCTCCGTCACGTCGCGCAGCAGCCCTGTCCATCGTTGTCTCCGGCCTCATGCTCGGCGTGCTCGTTGCCCGCGTCCTTTCCGGAACGATATCGAACTTTGTTACCTGGCGCGCAGTATACTGGATGGCATTTGCCCTCCAGTACATCATTTTCGTTCTCCTCTGGCTCTTCATGCCAGATTACCCAGCGACCAACCCCGGCATGAATTACTTTCGAATCCTACTCGACATTGTCAAGATGCTGTTCCGCCACCCCGTCCTCGTCCAAGCATGTCTAGCAGGTCTCTTCTGCTCAGCGCCTTTTACATCGTTCTGGACAACGCTGACGTTCCTCCTCGCCGGCGATCCCTACAACTATTCTTCCCTGACAATCGGTCTTTTCGGTTTGATAGGAATAGCGGGCATGCTCATCTCCCCAATCTACGCACGTACAGTTACCGACCGCTTCGTACCACATTTCTCCGTACTTTTTGGCCTCACATGCTCTCTCATTGGGATATGTCTCGGCACCTACACTGGAACCTTTACGGTCGCAGGCCCTGTCCTTCAAGCTCTATTGATGGATTTCGGCAACCAGACAGCGCAGATCGCTAATCGTTCGAGCATTTATTCCGTGGAGCCTAAGCGGCGCAACGGAGTGAATACTGCCTTCATGGTCGCTACGTTCTGTGGGCAACTTATTGGTACGGCGGCTGGGAACCATATTTACGCTGCTGCGGGTTGGATTGGGAGTGGAAGTGCTAGCGTGGGCTTTATTTCCGCGGCGCTTCTCGTCATCATTGCCAGAGGACCGTGGGAGGAGAGATGGGTTGGGTGGAGGGGTGGCTGGAGCATGATCAAGAAGGACAAGGACAGTGCTGATGGTAAGACGGCGGATAAAGAGATGCATGGGAGAAATGTGATAAGAGATGAAGAAATGGGCGTTGATGCTAACGAGAAGGTATTGGAGGAAGTTGCTGCGGAAGAGGGGCACGAGAGTCCGTTGAAGGACGGCGATGGCAGTGAGAAGTGTATTGAAGAAGGCGGGGTTAGAGAGCCAAAAGCATGAGGAGTGTTAGACGATTTGAGTATAGGCAGAATAATAGTATAGCCTCAACGGCGTATCACAAAACGCCACATGCATAGAGTGATCCATGTTCTGCGATTCATATATTATATACTGATAGACCCGAGCAAGTAGTGCCCGCACGTCTCCTCATTACCAGCCTTTGCCCTCGTCCCCTACGCTAATGCAATTTACCAAGGGACCGGCTGGATATCGCATTCGCTCTCGTGCTGACCACATGCGGTCTCAGACTACGCAGGTTTCGGTGCGTTTGACGCATTCATGAACGCATTAATGTGCTCTTCGGAGGGCATCTTCTCCAGAGGGGTAAGCCAGCTCTTGGCCTTGTCGAAGCTAGACACCGCCTTGACGAGCTTGATGAAGACCTGCGTGTTGGTCTTGTCAACACGACCCTTGAACTTGACAATGAGATTCTGAATGTTCATGCCTTGGGGTGGCAACGATTCGTAGATCTCCTTGGCAGATGGTAGGGAAGGCCGTGATGGGGCTGCAGAGGGACTACCTGCGCGGCTGCCGCTGGCTGTAGGACTGCCTGCACGGCTAGCACCAGGAGTGCCGCTCGGAGAAGCGCCAATCATGATGCGGTTTTTGTCCTTCTTGTCCTTCTTCCGCTTCTTGCCGGCGTCAGTCATCTCGCTGTCGCTACCAGACCCTGCGCCCTTAAGATTAGCAAGGGACGACTTCCGGGATCCATCAGCCAGCTTGTCATGCTTCTTCTTATGCTTCTTGCGCGAGGACTCGTTGCCGCTAGCTTCTGAGAGGTTGGGTGAGCCTGGCCTCTTCTTGCTCTTGCTCTCGCCAGACTTGTGGTTCCCCGAGGGGGTATTGGTGCCCTTGGTAGATGCACCAGAGGGGACGTTACCAGCTTCCGGTGCCTTGCCGTTCTGCTCGGCTGCCTTCTTCTCTGCCTCTTCCTTGGCTTGTTGACGCTCCGTCTCGGAGTCGGTGTCGGACTCACTTTCGGTGATGTACGGGTTCTCTGGATCGCTGTCAAGGTAGTCATATTGCTTTTCGCGTTTGACTAGGGCTTTTCGGGTGCCCTTTTCCTGGATCCTCCTCTCCTCAGCCTCCTTCCGCTCTTGTTCTTCCTTGATCGCAATGGCCAATTCATCGGGTCGATCCCACAGAGCAGCCTGCAGTTGGTCTCGCTTGAGCTTTTCTGCGGCTTCTTTGACATCCTGCTCTTCACCTTCAAAGAGACCATTCAGACCCTCTTCGTCGTCGGCAAAGTCTTCCTCAAGGTTAAAGTCGATATCGTCCGCGTCAGCTTCGCGCTTAACAAATCCGGTTGCGTCGTCGTCGGGGCGCTCGCGCTTGATCCTGCCTTCGTCGTCTGCGCCGCCGCCGACACGGGTACGGACTCCGCTCCACATCTTCGCATTGTTCTCTGCGTTGACGCGCTGCTTCTGACGCTCTTCGAGTTCGGCGAAAAACTTGGGTCCGCCGCCTCTCTCAACTTTGGCCAAAATCTTATCGAGATCATCGCCGCCAGTCTTGACCTTGCCCTTGACGTTGAACCGATACCAGCGCTCCATAGGGGCCATCTGGATTGCTGTATTGGGGTCGCCGGGGCGGGTGGTCGACAGCATGACATGTGTTTCTGACAGCTCCGACTCGTAGGTGCCGACCCACGTCTGTTTGTTCTCGAAGTCCTCCAAATGCCATGGCAGCGTCTCCTCGTATCGCAGAAGTTGTCGCTTCTTTGCCTCTGGAGTATCATCGGGCCGGTACTTCTGCTCCGTCTTCTTGTGGAAGGCAGGAGGCTTCTTCATGCCAGTAGGGGCGATCTTGGCTTGGTTCTCCTCGCGAACCTTGCGACGCTCCTCCTTCTGCAGCTCGATGCGCTCCCGCTCCTTCATTTCTTCCATGTCCTCCTTCGTGTCTTCTTCTTCGTACGTGGAGCCCATACCGCTTGGAGGCGCGCGGGGATCTCGGCGGTGGAGCTTGATGGGCGTCTTGAACTGGTTGTCGTCGGTGATGTCCACGTGCGTCTTGCTCTGCAGACGCATGACATGGTGTCGCAGCTCTTTCAAGTCCTTGCGGCTCACGATAAGTGGGAAGCTGCTGGCGCCTTGAGCAATGAACTCATGTCGCAACGCGTCTTTGGACTGCGTGCCATCGCTTGCGGGCCCGGCGACGGGCTTCTTGGCCTCGTTCATTTGCGACAACGAGACCATGGGCCTCGTGATGTTCTGTAGTGGGCGGCGGGGCTTGCGCAGGACATCGGCCTGCGGACGTGGGCGACGGCGACGAACAGGCGGCTGCTGGCCATTGGCGGCGACGGGCGCAGCGGGCGCGCTGGCGGGCGGCGGGTTCCCGTTCATGTTGCCGTTCATGTCGGAGGCAGCGGTGGGATGGTAACACGAGCGAGAGGCGATGGGCAGAGGATAGTGAGGGTGGGGAGACGCAGTCACCTTTGTCCCAAGGAGTTCCTTCAACTTCGGCCTGTGTCGCGCGCGAACGTCACAGCTCCACGCTAGTGCCTTAGCGCGCCAAGCCCGTTTCCAGCGAAGGCCGTCTCCGCCTTCCCAAACAGTGCCACCACTCAGCGACTGCCCGATCCAGTTCGTCATCGCTTCCACGGTTGCTGCGCCAGGAATGAGCCACCATAGGAATCGCGCACTTCCAGCAATACATTGCGCAAGAGCCACCGTGGACGTTTAATTCAAATCCTTCCGAGGCCTGATCGCTTTGGCTAGACAAGACATTCACCCATGGTTGCCTGGTGTGAATAGTCTCCCAATAAGATCCACCAACTGGGCCCTCCAATCACTTTACTCCCATAGTCGTCGCCAGAACCACCACGCGCCACACCAACCAAAGTCCTAGGAAACATCCACAACTTAAGACGCCAGAATCACTTCCTCTGAATACGAGTTTGGCCTAATAAGATCTCTTCCCTACTGCCCCTCTTTCACTGCCGGACTTCGTCCATTCGGATACACACCCCACTACTTGCTTACATCGCCAACGAGTTCAGACTAATCCGACATCATGGAACAGGAGAATGCATCACAGCCCACTGGGCTCGAGAATCAATTGCGCAACATGATTCTCGGCAACGTTAGCATAGCCGGTGGACAGTCTGGCCAAGACGCCCCGTCACCACACCGTGGACGCGGACGAGGCCAAGGAAGAGGACGTGGCCGCGGTCGTGGAGGTTTCCACGATACCGTCAACAATTTCAACAGCAACGGTCAGAGCCACACAACTCCAGGTCCTACTCCAGATCAAGCTCAAGGATGGCGCGCCCACGCTTCCGCCAACACGGCGCCAGCCCGAGGGCGTGGAAGAGGCTTTGCTCCCAGTCAGCGATATCAGCAACCTCCGCGAACCTTCCCAGACCAGCAAGGCCCAAATATCTCTCAAAACGGCCCACAGGTAGACAATCGACAGTATCATTCACGGGGGCGAGGGCGGCCCCATCAACAACAAAATCTGAACGCTGATGGTACACCACGTACACAGCCCCCTAGAATCCTACAACGGCCTCATGATAATTTCGCACTGCCAGGCCAAATCCCGGTAGGTCCAGCATCGACACAGCGTCCCCGTCCACAAGGTCAATATCCTCCCCGACCACCGATGAATCAACCACGAGAGAACTCCATGGCCCAAGTCGAACACTTGGACGCAATTGCAGCAGCCGAGATTCCGAAGGTGGAGATGTCCAGATCCGAGTCGGAGGCCAAAGAAGACTTCCGAAAGCACCTGGAAACCATCATGCAAGAAGCTTTTGCCAGCGGCTACTCTGGTGATATCTCGACTATCTCCTTGGTAGGCTTTGGCAGCTTAGCTTCCGGCTTTGGTATGCCCGGCTCAGACATGGATCTGGCAGTAGTGCCAATATGGAAAGATCCAGCGAGGGCTAGTGATATTGCCATTGATCGTGGCATCCCGCGTTTGCTGGAACGGGCAGTTCTCGACGCCAAGCTGGGTGGCCGTCTACTCACAAGGACAAGAGTACCAATTCTAAAGATATGCCAGACGCCAACCGAGACCTTGTATAATGCTCTCGCCGAGGAACGCCAGAAGTGGGAAGAGCTTCCGGAAGAGGAGAAGTACCCTTCAGACAAGCCACAAGAGGCCACCCCACCGCCAAAGCCGCTGGTAGATGTTGATGGAGCAAAAGCTTCAGAGCTTACTGCGCAGTCAGACAGCCCTAACTTTGGTGACGACTTTCCTATACTAGGTGCTGCGGCAACTACTAAGAAACGGCAAAAAGCTCCTGCAAAAGTTGAGACCGCCCAGGAAACCTCCATTACGTCGGCCACCAAGTCAGAAGACAGTGTCAGCAACGGAACCGATGAAAAGGCTAAGAAAGATCAGCATCACCGCCCTGAGAAACAGTGGATGCGAGAGAAGGTAGTCGGTCCCCTCGACTTTCCAAAGACGGGCTGCGGTATTCAATGTGACATCAACTTCGAAAACCCACTCGGTATCCATAACACTCATATGCTTCGATGCTACTCCCTAACTGACCCTCGTGTACGGCCAATGGTTCTCTTCGTTAAGTCATGGGCCAAGCGACGAAAAGTCAACAGCGCATACTCTGGCACTCTCTCTTCATACGGATGGGTACTTATGGTACTGCATTATCTGGTCAATGTCGCCCAACCACCGGTGTGTCCAAATCTCCAACTCGCCGTCCCGCTCCCGAGCGACACAGTAGCTCTAGAGCAGTTCTTCAAGAACACGACTATAGCAGGTTATCAGGTCCGCTTTTGGCGCAACGAGCCGGAGATCATCCAGGCCGCGCAAGCTGGTCGCCTTTCACAGAACACACAGTCTGTCGGCGAATTGCTACGCGGATTCTTCCAGTACTACGCTTCTCTATCTGGGTACGGCTATGGACCCAAGCCCCCGCAATTCTACTGGACCAACGAAGTCCTGTCCCTTCGGACGCCTGGCGGAATCTTGTCGAAGCAAAGCAAGGGCTGGGTCAGCGCGACAACCAAGATCACGGCGGAGAAAAAGGTCACGAATCGGTATCTGTTCGCAATTGAAGATCCGTTTGAGATTGATCACAATGTCGCAAGGACCGTCACTCACCGTGGTATCGTTGCTATCAGAGACGAGTTCAGGAGAGCATGGAGGATACTAAAGGCCATTGGCCAGAGCACAGAGCCCGAAGGTGGAATCTTTGACGAAGTCGTAGAGCAGCCACCCGCCCAGTCTGAGCCAAAACCTGAAGATGCTCCAAAAGGCACCATGGAAAGTCTTGGCGTTGATGAAGAATCGAAGACTGAACAAGGCAGCCAAGCGATTGCAGTGTAAGATTAGGTGTACATCGATTCGACAGATATGATGTAAGGGTCTCGAAAAGCTTGAAAAGACTATACTATATTACCGAAGTTATGAGATAGACGATGACCGACTTTGTAATATAGCAACCTCATCTCAAACCTGAAGCCATCCGTCTAATTCTTGATCCATCACAAAGAATTCGTCAAAAGCTGTGCCAAGAAATTCATCCGGTATGTTGTAGGAAAGCTGCGTTTGCGAGGCATCCTGAAATGCCAGCGGATTAGAGCCAGAAGTGATGTCTGCCGAGAATGAAGAGAAAGACTCTCCATGTTCTCCACCTGTCAGATTACCTTCTTGGCTGTCTGGTTTTGGATCCCTCCCCAATTTCCCCAGAACAGCATTCACCGCTCTCACGGCCGTTTGTGCTTCTTTCGAGAACCCCTGTTGCTGTTCCCACACACTCTTCGAAGTCTTGAGTGCTTCCACGCTTTTCTGTGCGACCTCTTCCCCGATCAGCCCTTTCTTCATGTCGTCGTTCAGATTGAGACACAGGACTGTTGTGGCGAGCAGGAACTCGGATTGGATCAAGGAGAGGATCTTCCATCGATCACTATGTAGCATGCGGCCCGGTTGATTCTGCTCGAACAACTCAGCTTGTAGCTGCAACATTGCCAGTGCTGCGCTTACGCATGTCGAATGAGACAGCTGGTATTTGCTATTCGTCTTTGCAAGGATGATGAACTTGCGGTGGAGGGTAATCTGCGCGTGGTGGAACGACATCGCTATATATAGACGACGGGTGATGAGTTCTGCGCCGTCTAAGATGGATTGCTGCATAGGCTTCAACTTTAGTATGGAAGGCTTCTGGGCATATGCTCTGCTGAGTAGTGTATCTAATCGCATTGCTTCGTCGTAATCTCGCTGCTTCGATGACGTCGTGAAGTCGCAGATCATTCCGTAGACGGAGACTATCCTGCTCTTGTATACTAGGAATTGGGACAGCGTGTGCTCGCTTTGTGGTCTAGCAGGCGGTAAGACGGTGGACGTATCGTCAAAGTCATCATCCAGGAGATTGCGCGGCTCAGCGGTGTCGCATTGAGTTTCCTTTATGATTCGCGGAAGACCGACCTCAGAAGCTGAGGCGATGTCAAATTGGGTGAGGATATACCAGGTACGCCTGCGCATTTCGGCCTCATAGACACTCATCTGCGGGAAATGCGAGCCATCGCGGTGGTAGCCCATCTTGAGCGCTACGCGTATTATGACGCCCGTCAATTGCCAACAGCCCTGTTGTGTGTCTTCGCCTTGAACGTATTCGGTCTGAAGGAAAGCCAGTAAGGCCTCGATGGTATGCGGTACGCCCTTCATGTAGTTACCTAGCCTAAGACATTGTATCATCTTCTCTCGTGAGATGATGATCAGGCTGTGATATTCGGCTGCTGTCGTCTCGTCCAATGAGGCCGCACCGCCGTTCATGAATAGCGTACAATAGGCTACTGTATACATCATGCCGTATAATATAGTCAGCCACATGGTTGACGTTGAAAGCGGATCTTCCCAAAACGCTTCGTATTGTTTGATAAAGACCTTGCGGTGAATGACAAGTGAGACGGGCATGTCCGCCCATTTGAAGTATTTCGAGATCATGCTATCGACAATTATGCGGGGCGGAATCGCAGCGACGATATCCATTTTTGTAACTGGGTATGTTTGGAGAAGAAACAGGTCGTTTCCAGGGAGTGTTGGCTCAGTATGTTGTGGTTCTTCAACTTGTTCCTGTACCATGTCTTTCAGGTCACTAATCTCATCCAGGATGGCTTTCCAGTGGTCACTCTCGACGTATGAAGACTGATGGTCGTTGAGGTTTATCCGACCAGCTTCATATACGAGAGGATCCACCGCGGCGACGGTTTCTGTAGTCTCGTGGGTCGCCAGATTCCCCGGCATCCGAGCATCAGGGAGTTTTTCTTGTTTGTCAAGCAAAGACCGGACGAGCGACTCCAGCTGATCAATTCGTTCCTCGAACGCCTTTCGCGTGGCGCTCTCTATCGGTCTGTCTTTTTGTGGAGCTCGCGGAAGTTGGGGTAGAGGGAAGCTGCACCCTGCCACTTGCCCTAGTCGAATGCAGCTCCCGCAAGGCTTGTTTCGATCACATCGAAGTCTAGACATTTCTTGTTAGGTGTCTTGGTGATAAGGTAAATCACTTCCTTACTTTCTCTTCCTGCAGAAATCACAGGATAGCTGGGCCTTCTCCCGACCTCTCATTCTCTCTAGCAGTCGTTCCGAGGAAATAGGCGAATTTGTCATCTCTCTGGTTTGCTTCAGGCGTACTTAGGAGATGATGAAGTGTTTAGGACATGCTGACCATAGGTAGTGATCTTGGTGGCAACATAAGCACGATACGCACGGAGGAACTTAGGTCGGCGGCTATATACATGGGCCGTATCTTACCAGAGCTTTTACACTAAATCGCACATTCTTCCTATTGGGGTCGTATGCGTCAGAGTAATCGAAGTAAGCCTACGGACGGCAGGTAGCTTAAATGTGGGCCCAAACGGACGTCCGCTGGCCTCTGATTGGTGCAATGCTCTGCGTCCACGAGATTGCATTGCAAGCAGGCATCAAGTCCAGGAGCTTGTAGAAGTATAAGATGGAAAGGAATCTAGGTGTTGAGCATGCTGCAAAGAAAGATACTTCAAACTTTATCATTATTCAATATCTTGAAAACGCACATCTAATCACTTCTCCGAGTCCTCATCTTCTACACGATGCCTACCAATCTCGCAGCATGGATGCCAGCACCGAAGCAACGCATGGAAGTCTCGGAAGCGCCATTTCCTACTCCTGGGCCCGATGAAGTTATCGTCAAGAATCGTGCAGTGGCGATCAATCCAGTTGATTGGGTTTTGCAAGACCAGGGCACCAGTATGGCGTTCGGTTGGATCAAATATCCTTTTGTTTTCGGCTTTGATGTCGCTGGCGAAGTGGTTCAGATCGGCAGCAAAGTGGTACGGTTCAAAGTAGGAGACCGTGTTCTAGGTCAGGCGCACAGTACAGACAAGAAGATCAACAGCGCGGCATACGGAGCATTCCAGCTGTTTCCCGTTCTCCTGGAAAGGAACACATCGTCTATTCCAGACAGCTTGTCATTTGAATCTGCTGCAGTGATACCTCTGGCTTTCACTACCGCTGCAGCAGGGCTGTTCGAGAAGGATCAGCTCGGTCTGCAATATCCTCAACTTCACCCGAAACCGACCGGAAAGACGGTCCTTGTCTGGGGAGGCTCGACTAGCGTAGGCTGCAACGCTATCCAACTCGCTGTTTCCGCTGGATACGAAGTCATATCGACATCTTCACCAAAGAACTTCGATCTCATGAGATCCCTCGGTGCTAGCAAAGTCTTCGACTACAACGACCCCTCTACAGTCGACAAGATCGTCGGGGTCATGGAAGGGAAAGAATGCGCGGGAGCCTTGTCTATTGGAGAGAACGCAGTTTTCCATTGTCTAGACGTCTTGGGCAGATGTAAAGGCAATAAGCGTATTGCAATGGCGACATATCCAATCCCTGCTCAACCGAAGCGATTTGTCGCACTGCAGATTATCTGGAGCTTCGCCACTTCGATGATCTCCATCATCATCAAGTCACAGCTGAGAGGTATCAAGACAAGTTTCGTGTACGGATCGGTGGCGCATTCCCCTGTCGGTAAAGCCGTGTACGCCGACTTCCTGCCTGAAGCACTCGCGACTGAGAGGTTCCGAGCAGCTCCCGAGCCCATTATCGCTGGAGAGGGCCTGGAAGCCATTCAAGAAGCTTTGCATATTCAGAAGAAGGGAGTTTCGGCAAGAAAGGTGGTTGTAAGCCTGAAGTGATACCGGAAGTTGTGATCTGGATTTGCAAGTTTGCTGCCCTGGTACTTTCTTAGTGGACGAGCTCATGGGTCTAGTACAATTACTCAGTCTTTAGAGGTTTCTTGACATGTGCGTACCTCTCCGCGGGCAAATAAAGAACCTGTTCAATGCCAACTTTGGAATGTGTGAAATAGGCGCGACGGTCTGGATGCGTTCTTTACGGTGATGTAGCTGACTGACTGCTTTAGCGCACGCCGCCTGCATGCAGGTGCAACCTGCCCCACGCATCACCTCAGCCCCAGCATTCAGCTTTAGCACGGCCTGATCGCAATTCATCTCGTTCATCGCGCAACGCTGCATGATCTTCTCCAACATGCCTTCGAGATGTCTGCCACTTATTACGACAACTCAACATCATGCGAAGACCGCCGCGTTGTTCGCCGCCGGCTAGTCAATTGGTTACACTGGCCCGAAACGACAGGTCAGCCGCAATTCACTAACCAGAAACTTGACTTGAGCGAACGTTCCCGTCCGGATATCGAAGACGATGCGCTTATCTCGTGGGGTCTGAAGCAAGCCGAGGGGTCGAAGGGCGGCAATACGACGATTAACGTGTTGTATGGAGAAGGACGGCACCTTCGTGGGTGTCACAAGAAAATGAAGCCGTGATGAGGTTAACGAAGCCCAAGAATGGCGAGACAACATTGATGACGACGATTTGGAGCATATATTGCAGGTGTGTGTCAGCCATAGCAATACTAATGAGTAATCCTGACTCTTCAGACTCAACCGACAAGTACAGGAGAGCACTCGTTGCGAATGTGGTACGTGTAATGTTTGTAAATCTCAGCAGAGCGCTGAAGAACACGACTTCGGCCAAAACAAGACCAAGAAAGTTATGGAGATATCACAAGCTAGGGTAGCAAGCTGACAAGGTTCTCAAAGCTTCCTGAATACATTGGAACCAAGCAGCGGTTGGCTACCAGGAAACTTCGAGATTCGGTCCCGGACCTTCCGCATTCTGAGGGATTCTGGTTTGTCGAAAACGCTACTGAAGAACATATACTCCAAAGATACTTATTGGGCTAAGATGGGAAACCAGCTGTTCTTGCGTCGCAATGAAAAGGGCGATCTGCTCTCGTTCGGTACGATACATGTCTACCCTCTTGTACACACATT